GTGCCTGTGACACTGCAAAAGTTGGGTGCTAAAGCATATGGTCTTTCTGGGAGCAGCAAACACCCCAATCACAATGAGCAAACTCAGCACCTAGAGATTGGTTTCTAAATACTGTCTTCCAGTGAAGGAACCAGGGTTTCTTGAGGAAATGGCCAGTTCCAGGATGGGACAGGGAGAATAGATGATGAGCCTGGAATATCTCATTATGCCAGAAACCAGGAAAATGTTTAAAGTATAATGAGGACATGTCCAAAAGACACAGAAGCCAGCTTCAGGGGACAAACTGAGCATTAAAGTTAAAATGATAGAAACAAACTATAATCTATTGAATAAAGTAGGTAACCATTAGCCCATACTGACAATGATAAATAAATGAATGAATTGAAGTTTTGATGAGGAATGGGCCTTTATATAGTATCAAAGTACCTTTCCACAAAATATCAAAATATTCGTGAATTAAAAAGGCAAAAATAGTAACTTGACAGTAGAGAAGCTTGGCAGACACCACCTTAATAAGGGGTCAAAGTTATCATCACTAATGGGACAAATCTATATTGTGTGCCACCTGATAGGATGCAGTGAGAAACACAGCATCACTTCTGTGATATTCCTCCCAAAGTTGCATAACCTGAATCTAATCATGAGGAAACATACACACCTAAATTGAGGGATGTTCTGCAGAGTAAGGGCCTGTAATCTTCAAAGTGTCAAGGATGTGAATGAAGATCAAGAAAAGACTGAAAGACTATTCCAGATTGAAGGAGCCTAAACAGAATGGCAGCAAAGTGCATTGGGTGATTCTGATTTGGATCCTTTTGCTGTCAAAGACATTGTTGGGATAATTGGTTAAAATTAAACAGGCTGTGAGGATTAGAAGGTAGTAGTGCATCAGTGTTAATTTCTTGATTTTGATGGTTATATTACTTATGAAACTGACTTTGTAGTAAATACATACTGAAGCAGCATTCTCAAACTTTTTATGTCACATGACCCCTTTACATTCTTAAAAATTGTTGAGGACTCCAAAGATCTTTTGTTTATTATTTTATTATAAATCCAAACTGAGAAATTTTAAAAATAATTAATTTATTTAAAAATAACAATAAGCCCATTACATGTCAACAATACATTTTTGAGAAAAAAATAACTATATATGCTGAAACAAAACAAAATTTAGTGAGAAGAGTGGGTTTGTTTTGCATTTTTGTAAATCTCTGTCATATTTAGCATAATAAAAGGTAGTTGGATTTGCATATCTACTTCTGCATTCAGTCTGCTGCAATTTTTTATTTTGGTTGAAGTATAAGAAGAAAATCTGGCTTTACATGGATATGTAGTTGGAAAAGAGAATGGTGTTTTAATTAGCCTCAGATAATTGTGGATACTCTTTTGCTACATCGAAACATAAGTGAAAGTTTCTTAAAAGTTAGTTGCAATATGGAATCTGAAATCATATTAATGAATTTTTCTTACTATTCCATCAAAATCCATTAGCCTAGCTCAGACTTTGAATTGGTCTTTTATTCACTATGATTTTGTAACATTATTCGGAAAATATTGGTTAGTGAGTTTTGCAGATCTTCCAGATGTTGACATATTACAGAAAAATCACAGTTGTTAATATCACCCCCATCCTCATCAGAAAAGTCTTTTCTCTCAAGCTCATGGTGATGGATACAAGTTTTCCAATACTTTAATTTTCATTAAAAGCTCAAATTTTATCATGGACAACAAATACTGTTGCTTTTCTTGAAGTAGCAGACTTGCTTCATTCATTTTGAGAACGTGTCTGCCAAATCTGAATAAATGTAGTTTTCTGTCAGTGGTTCTTTCAAGCAAAATGGTATTGCATGAAAAAGGGGACTAATTCAGCTCATTACTCAGTTGCACAATTGTTTTTGCTCATGACAGCCATGGTATTAGGTACACAGAAAAAGTACTTATGCATACTTCTCATCTTTTCACCCAGAACATGAAAAAGATGTGTACTGAAGGGTAGAGGTTTAATAAAATTAATGATTGTTATTACTTCATCAAGGGACATTCTTAAATGAAGATGACTTTTTTCATTTTTACTACAAATATGTGAAGAACACAAAGACTTCCAATAGAGGTGGGTTCCACTGCTTTGACTCACGGTAAGGTTCTAGCGGTTTTATCCTCCATCGCTTTTGTCAGTGCAGGGAAGAGGGCAAAGAATGTCTTTGTATTTTTGACTCTCAGGGACCCCTGGGTATCCCGGGTCACACTTTGAGAACTGCTACATTGAAGTAGTTTTGGTTGCTTGGCATCATGTCAGCAGTTTAATCTAAAATGATTTGGGGAAAAAAAGTTACTTGTACAGTATTTGCAACATTCTTTGAGGTTATTTCATAATTTAAAAAGCACATATAAATAAAAGCCTTTCTAATGTTGGAAGCATTTATGAGACATTTATGAGAATAATCGTTCACAAATTTCAGCAATATTTCAGTAAGTTATTGTGTAGATTAAATGGTATAATGTGATTTAGTAGAGTCTTGGCATATAGTTGATGCTCAGTAATCAATAACTATAATATTTATTACTTCTGTTTTGTTGGTAGAATATTACCTGCAACCCTATACATTTTACATGGTACCTCTGTGTCCTTTAGGGCATCCTAGGGTCAGGATGTTTGTGTCAAGTTTTTATTCTTTGTTCTTAGAGTATTGAAAAAACAAGACTGTACATCACCACCTTTTCTTTTATTTTGATTTAATATGTGAAACCTGTGCTCTTAATTTAAATGAAGAGGGGGTGTTTTCTGTGTTGAACAGAAAGATAGTTCTCGGCAAAATGTTGTTGAACTATATTGATCTTAAAAGTGTTAACTGCAATAAAATAAATACTCATTTTAATAGTTATTTTAAATTTCGGTTTTTTTAATGAAATAAAAGCAATTGTTAAGCTTCCCCCACCCCCTAAATACCAAGTCAGAAACTCAGATCTTGAAAACAATACTTTTTTCCTGTGGCGAGATATTACAAAACCAGAATGGAATCTTGTAAGAACAAAGTGACAGGTTAAAATAAAAAGAGGTTACTTAAAAATAAAAAATAAAAATAAATTTAAAAAAAGCTCAATCAGCATTTTTAGAAGAAAAGTACAGTGTGATATTTGACTTGTAATTAATTTTAGCTATCTTTGTTGGAAAGAAGAAGGGAGGAATATTGTGGCAGGTAACAAAAATATTTCTTTTGCTTTCTACCTTGGTTTTTAGTTCATGGTTATCCTGCATGGAAAATTGGTCAGCTCTGGCCCAAATCTGTTTGGTAGTCATTTTGTTTTTCAAAGAGAGAGAGGTAGGGTACCTCAAGAAAAGAAATAACAGAGAAACATTTCATATGATTTTTTTTTAAATGTTGATACATAATCACAGGGACATTGCCTCATATAGGAAGACTGTTTTAACTCCAAGATATGGTAGTTTATTAATGAGATTTCTAAAGCAAGTGGGTAAAATCATTGTGTCCCGCCTCTTCCTAAAGCTGTGTATCTAATCAGACTCTTAACCCAGAAGGCTCTCGCAGCCCAGCCTGCCTCCCTGTTCCATGGTTGTCTGTCCCATTCAGGCCCTTCTCTCTCATGGGACTAATGAAGCAGCTGTTTTGTCTTCTCTATGCCACATGTTGCTTTTTATAACAGGCTTGTATCCTCTACTCTGCCATTATCACTTCCTTCCTAAGAAACAAGTGTGATCTTGTCATCTCCCAACTTAATAGCCTCTGCTAAGTACTTATAACACACAAGATGAAACATAACCTTGTTATAGGGCCGACCTCATAGGTGTGTGACCTGTGCATTCGCAGAGGGCCTCACACGTAGAAGGGCCCACACTTGGTTTAATGATATGCTGTCACCATCTTGAAATTCTTAATAATTTTTTAACAAGGGACCCCACATTTTTATTTTGACTGGGTCCCACAAATTACATAGACAGTCCTGCTTCCACCAGCTTCCTTCTGCAATATTTTTTTCTCTCTACTTCTCCCTGTATATCACAAACGCCATCCACAGGGCTTCTTACAACATGTTGTTCCTAATTCTCCCCCATCTCTGTGTGGCTGATTGCTATTCTCTCTCCAGAACTCCACACAGATGTTACCTCCTATTTAAAATGTCACTCTGCAAGAGGGAGTTGCCTTCTCCTGGGTGCTTTGTTCGTATTTATTAGAGCAGCAGTTGAGTTTACACATATCAGGTTCAGAATATAACCGATTTGAGGGAATTTGTTATTGTCCTTAGGGTGGAAACTGATGTGGGCACTGCTCAGTATGGGTTTCTTGAATTTATTCAGTCAAACAAACATTTATTGGGTGCCTATAAAGTACCAGGTACTGTTGAGCATACTTAAAAAATATGAGGATACTTTAAAAAGTGGAAAAATAGAATTAAAAGATAATACAAATCTTTCCATGAACTTTTTGAAATACTCTCATTTAGTGGTAAAGAAAAGAAAAACCACAGACATGGACTCTGCCCTCACAGAGCTTATAGTTTAGGGAGTGAAACACTTCTCCTGGTTGTAGATACTTGTGCTTCTGAATAAATGATTGAGCAACATGCTAAGGTTTTCAGGTCATAGGATAGTATGGGAAATCTTCTGCCTCCCATGAATGGGGTTGTGGTGAAATATTATAAGCCCTAGAATACCTGGAATCTTGCATGTGGAAACTGTCCTAGGTCATTTTGTGACATTAAAGAGAAGGTTGGATGTTAGCAGGGGACTAGGCTTCTTTCCTCAAATTTGAGACACTATTGATCATGAAACAATGTTGCAGCTTATAACTATTAAGAAAGAAAATTTGCCAATTAAACTGATACAGCATCAATTATAAGGCATATTGATGTCAAAGATAAAAAGTGAATAAAATGTGCATCTTGGAATTGATGAAATATAGTAATTCAAAGGTTAATCACAAGCAAATTGAGTCAAAGCAATAATTGGACACTACAGACAAGGCTAAAAATAGTACATCATGCCACCTGATTCCATGGATAATACAATAATAAATAAATCACTTTTTAAAGTAGAGTCAGATGTTCATGGTCAGCTTGAAAAAGAATATGCAGCCCGATGCAAAGAGGCAAGAGTTTTAACAGTGCATATAACAGCTGCAGCAGCCTACGCTGTTAAGGAGAAGACAACTATATGTCAAGCAGCCAACTGTCTAGATGTTGTCAGATACCAGAAACATTTGTGTAAGGCTTTACAGTTTCATGAAGTACATCTCATGTGCTATCACATGTAATCCTCATAACTGTGTAGGATGGCTATTATTTCTTGTGATTTACAGGCTAATAAATGGAATTTTTGAATGCTAAAAGGATTGAGTGAAGGGACCTTTGCCAACTACCAACTGTGCTGGCCCTTAAGTCCAGGGCTTCCAACTGCATCCCATGTTCTTCCTAAGGAACTCTCCTTCCATATTACTAGTAGCAGCATCTTGGAATCTTAAGGGTAGTAATGTTAGAAATACTGTTTTACATTTTTCTCCTCTCAAAAAATAAAATTCAGATGATTTCATTGGCAGGCCTTTTGTTGTCCAAGTGCAAAAAAACCCTTGCTTACCTGAAAATTTCTTCAAGAGTGGTTTGTCGAAGAGTCCACAATAGCTGAACCAAGTGTAGAACTCAGAGCTTTCAAAAGAATGGAACCTATTCATGTCCCACCATTAGAACAAACTCACGTAGCATAGGTTTTTATTTATTGCAGGTAGTTGTTCTAGTTATATAGACTGTAATGAATAAAATATAGTAACTTTGGCTTAAAATAAAGAAATGCTTGGTTTGGGATAGAATCCTGATGAGCTGTGATAAATGTTTTGGTTTGACTGAAAGTCGATCTCTTCATGTGAGACTAAAATTATCATGAATATTTTTTCAAGGGCAATGTAAAAAAAATAAACCACTATTTGTGTAGTATCTCTGAAAATTATATTATAATTAAATGGGCCTTTAGAAAGGAAGTCAGATCGGTTATTCCCTTCTGGGGCACAATCATCTTTTCTTCAGAGCTACCTAAGGCAGGCCAGGCTTTCTCTGTGGGAGATGTCTCACTCTGAGGGGTCGCGAGTGGAAGAGATGGTTAGGCCTGGGAGTGGGGCAGGAAAAAGACAGGAAAAGAAGTGGTAAGAATTTGGTTGGGGAACATTTTTTTGTTTTTCCCTTAAAATTAAAGTACAAAAGATTCATCATACTTCTTTTACATCTCTAAATGATATAAAAAATGATCATTTTATGTGAAAATGGAGAGGTTTTTAGAAAACTTACAAGACAGTTTATAGTTATAAACTGAGTTTAATGAACTTATATTTGAGTAAAGTTGCTAATCATTGAATATAGTGCTATTTCTATGAGAGTCTCCCCTTTCCCCTCATTGTCTTTTTCAGGACTGGGAATAGGGAGAGTGGTCCATGACTGAAAATATCCTCAACCTTCATCATATCTGTATCCCAGAGTTAAGCTCCTGGAGTGGTTTATTCACGAGACTAGATGGTTTCATATAACTCTGAAATGTCTGAATTTCTATGAGAATGATAGTACAAACCCATGCAAGACAGATGAAGGAATTGAGTTGTCTCTCAATTTATCTTACACTTTAGAATGCCTAATAGTACCTTGTGTTATTATGTCTTATATAGACATTTCTTACCAGCATGTGGTTTTATTTCCATAGGGTGGAGTTCAAGAAGTATTGAGGGGATGATTTTAGTAAATCAGCTGTGTTGGCCTAGATATATTTACTTACTCAACAAACATTTAGCAAAGTGACCTCTGCTTCATGCTGGGCGTTGTGCTAGGTGCTGGGAATACAGAGATAATACAGAATAATCTCTGTTAGGAAAGACTCTTTGCTTAATATATTATGGTAGGTGCTTAACTGGGTTATACAGAAAGTCTCTAGGAACACAGACGAGAGAGTAAGGAGCTTTACCTTGGAGGAAATGAGAATCATGAAAAACATGTCCACAGAGGTGGTGTTAGAACTTGAATCTTAAAAGGATGGTATAGTATGGAAAGGATGGGAAAGGGTGAATGTAACAGGCATTTCATAATGGAAAGTATCCAGAACTTAAGGGGAAAAGCAGGTTGTTTATTTGGAGCAGATGTAGGGAAAAAGAATCAATATATTCTTTTGAGTTTTTATTAATAGAAAAAATATAAATAACATACAAGTTTATGTGGATTAGACTTATATTCTAGCATTCTCAGACTTACTTATTCCCAGCCACCTAGGGGAAAATTTTTAGGGGGCGGAGCCAGGCAGTGAAGGCCGGTGGGGAGGAGGCGAGGTGGATGAGGGAGAAAGCACACGTTTCTGGGCTCTCCATGGCTGGGCCTGAGTTCTCCTGCCACCGATGATGCTAGGCTTTCCTCCCTCCATACATTCCTTAGAAGGTGGGACGGAGAAATGTTGCTGGGTTCGAGTGCCCAAACCGTGTATCGGTGCAGCCAGACATAAACAAAACTTTCGCTGGTGTTTGATGCCTTTAGAATTCTCCTCAGAAAGCACTTTATTTTATTTATTTAATTATTTACTTTTATTTTTTTAAAAGATGACCGGTAAGGGGATCTTAACCCTTGACTTGGTGTTGTCAGCACCACGCTCAGCCAGTGAGCGAACCGGCCATCCCTATATGGGATCCAAACCCAGGGCCTTGGTGTTATCAGCACCACACTCTCCCGAGTGAGCCACGGGCCGGCCCACCTAGGGGAAAATTTTGAGTAAAGTCTCCAACATCTATAAAATTATTCTTAGAGGAAGACAATGTTAAATTTAAAGGGAGATCCCAATTTGTTGAGCAAAATGAAAAATAATGATGGTCAGACTTAGAAGTATGTTAAGTGTAAGGCTGTTTGGAATATGTATATGACTTTTCTTGGCTTGAACCTAACAGTGTGTTAGTTTTAGTATTGATATGTTTCAGCAGCATCTTGAAACTACCTATGGGTGCAGTTCCTTCTCTGTCAGTTTCTGACTTCACCATGAACTAATTCAAGATACTCTGAGTCAAAACCAGCAATAAGACTGTAGGAGTGGGACACCCATGCCTGGAGGTGATGGAATGGCTTGAGGCCAGTGAGGATATTTGTTGTTATATATCTCTATAGTTATAAATAGTATTTGCTTTCTATTTTTTCACAGTTGTAGATAGGTGGATTTCAGTGGAGAAGTGGATAAAGAGGGAATTAATAGTATCAGCTCAGCTATTTTTTAGCTTCATTCCCCATTTAAGCCAGAGCTGATTTTCTGCTTCCATTTCTAATGAGTTGACTACCTTGAACAGCTCATACCAATCATCAGAGGTTTTTTTTGCTTTTTGGTTTTTGCCAGTAGGACAGCGAGACAATGGGCCAAGACTATCTCAGAATCATTTCAATTTGGAAAAAAAAAAGTGAGGGAGCATATGATTATATACATATTTGGCTACAACTGTAAATAGCAGGATGCCAGCAGCTGTAGACTAAATGCCCCCTCAACCTCATTGAAGCTTAATCCCTACTGTAACTGTTGAGGATAGGAGGTCCTATTATGGTAATTGAAAGGTGGGGCCTTGAAGAGGTGATTAGGTTATAGGACCATTATCCATTCTCTATGGATTTAAAATGGTGATGGTCATGGATGTGGTTTGGAGGGCATTAAAAGGGGAATGCAGAGAGTCTGTCTCTCTCTCTGCTTCTACCATCTTGCACTATGAGACCCCTGGGTTGCTGTCACCACCACCAGATGTGTTCCTCAGACTTTGGACTTCCAAGCCTCAGAAACTGTAAGCAATAAATTTTGTTTTGTTTATAAATCACCCACTTCTGTGTGTTTTGTTATAAGCAACAGAAACAGACTGATACACCAGCTTGTCCAATATCAGATACTTCATGGTTTGTCAATAAGAACAATAGTATCTTTGCATAATGGTGTGTAGAATTCTAAGAATGCAATTCTTTAATTCTTTACTTTCTTTAAGAATTTTTAACCACAAGATTTTACTGTGAGATATTTAAAAAACATTTCAGTAAATGGAGAAACTAAAGGGAATGCCACATTGTCATTCTTCTTAAGTTTAATTGGAATGCTTAATACAACCCCAATAAAAACAGACTATAGGGCCAGCCCAGTGGCGCACTGGAGAGTGCGCCGCTTGGGAGCGTGGCGGTGCTCCCACCGAGGGTTCGGATCCCATGTGGAGACGGGTTCCCGCTCACTGGCTGAGCGCAGTGCGGGCGCAACACCGAGGGTTGCGATCCCGTTACCGGTCAGTAAAAAAGACCAAAAGGAAAAAAAAACCAGACTATAAATAGGTGAGGGTAAGCAAATTTTTTGAAAAAGATCAATGAAAGAGACCTACACTACTGGAAACATTAAAACCTATCTTAAAGCTAGAATATATAAAACTAGATCATTACAAAAGAACAGAAAAATAAGACAATAAACAGACTATAATTCTGGAGTCAGAGTCTGGTAGGTACAAGCTATCCATTGGCTTTATATTCCCACCTCGATCAGCTGTTGGATGTGGACCTTTATGGTGGGGCAAGAATCAGAGTGCCCAGAAGAAGGCTTTGGTAAAGCAGTGGGCTGTTGCTGAGTTGTAGACTGATGGTCTTATGAAAACCTTGGGTTGGGGAGGTGGTGAAGGTGGAAATGAGGGTTGGTATGTGGTATCCACTTCTGTTCCAGGTACTGAATATACCCTTGGGCTGATGTTTAAAGACAGAGGATCCTTTGTCCATTTGCCTTGCCTTCTGTTGGTAGGGTCAGATACAGAGTAATCGGCTATGGGAAGGGAAAGATGTTTAGATTTACTTCCCCAGCTCCTAAGGAAGCCAGCTACCTCCCAGCTCAGCCTTTTAGAGTAGCCGTCATAATTCTCACCTGATTGCCTGGCCCAGAGAGAGGCAATTCCTGTTCTATTCTTATATATGTGCTGCTACTTTTGATTCACATAGCTTGGTGGTGTAGGTGGGGCCAGTTCATGGAATGCTCAAAGCCTATCCATGGTCCTAGCCAAGCACATGCATTTACCTTATCCTTGGAAAGGAAACATGAAGGGAGTGTGCTTGATTCTTCTGGGGAAATTGTCCTTACTCTATAAAAGGGACATATCGTAGAGACATACCATTTCTGTCTCTGAACATTGTCATCTTCATGAGATGCTTGGAATGGCAGTGGCCCTCTTGAAATCAGGAGGGGAGCCAGCCTAAGGAATAAACGAGGAGGAGGGTGGAAAGAACCCAGACCATATGTGACATTGTTGAGCAACTAAGCAAAACAGAGCCAAGTCCTTCTCTTCTTGAAGCTAAATTTCAGTGGGGACAGATAGACAACAGCACACATAAAATACATAGTATAAAATAAAATTTAAATATATATACATAAATAGAATACATAGTGAATTAGAAGGTAAGTGCAGCAGAATTAAGTAAACCTGGGAAGGGGATAAAGAGTGCTGAGGGAGGGGTGGTTGCATTTTTTAGAGGGTAGTCAAGGAAGCCTCTGTAGCAGGTAACATTTGTTCAAGGATCCAACAGAGACTAGGGATGCAGAAGAGCATTCCAGACAGAGTGAACAGTAAGTGCAAGCTCCCTGAGTGTTTTGGGAGAACATTCTGTGTTTAAAGAACTGCTTGTGTCCACTGTGGCTGGAACTGGGGAGCAAAGGAAGAGAGATTGTAGATGAGTTCAGAGAAGCATTAGGCTGTTGTTAAAAAAACTTTTGGCTCTTATTCTGAGTGAGATGGAACACTTTAGAGGTTTGTGAGCAGGGGAATGACATGATCTGACCTATGTTAAAAAAGAAAATGCCCACAATTGAGGCATAGAAGAAGAGTTAAGAGAAAACAACAACAACAAAAAAGTGTTAACTGGACTAGAACATGATTCTGGGTAATCCAGGGGTAAGTTCAAAAATTTTCATTATCTTGAAAAATTTGCACCAGAAACCATTTTGCTTATCCTAATGTGAATACAAAAAAAGGGCTTACTTGGGACTCATTATTAAGTAAACATTTTTTTCCAAAATGTGTTATTGAATTATTTTTAGCAGCATATTTATACAAGACTCTACAATATAAGTACATTCACCACATCCTCTGAGATATAAAAGTAAATTTGATTCAGGGGTTGTGAGATGGTTTTTATTACTAGAGAGGAATTGTCTTAAATGTCAGTACATGGTGCTAGAGTGGAAAAATACTCTGCTCTTCAAAATAGATAAATGTATCTTATTCTTGAATAAGGTTTTACTTTTAATAAAAGGTATCCTTCAGCCTGTCATTTTGGGGCATTTTTTCCTTGTGAATCTGTGGCTGTAATGAAGGCAGTACTGGTGGTAAATTCTTTGAACCATTTATAGTAAGACATATTGGACCAGCTATTGTGAAATGACGGCTCTGTGTCTGACTCTCCATTACATGAACACACATACTTGTATAACTCATTTATATTGGAACAGTAAGAATACCTTTAACACCAAATCAGGTATTTTCTAAGTCAGTTATTCCTCTCTCCAGTTTATTCATGGGTTTCTACCTATGGTCAATACTTTTCATTGAGTTTAAGAATCAAATCTCTCATTAACTAGCTCTTTAGATTTAGAAATAAATCCTTTTAGATTAAGAATGGATACATCCTAATCCAGAGCAAGGTTCTAATTCTATTTAATTCTACGAAGGCTTAGAGAGGTGAGAAAGCTTGAGAAGAAAAGTTTGAAGATAGCAGAGGTTGGTTCATGAGATTTAAGCCATCTCCATAACATAAAAACTCAAGGTGAAGCAGCAAGTACTAACATAGAAGCTGCAGCAAGTTCTCCAGAAGGTCTAGCTAAGATAATTCATGAAGGTGGCAGCACTAGTCTTAAGGAAATGTTGTGGCTGGTTTGATCTTCTATCCAGACCACTAAAACTTTCTCCATATCTGCAAAAGCCTGTTTTGCTTTCTTATTATTGGTGTGTTCACTAGGTAGCACTTTTAATTTCCTTCAAGACCTTTTCCTTTGTATTCACACCTTGGCTAACTGGCTCAAGAGGCCTAGCTATCGGCCTGTCTTATTTTTTGTCATGCCTTCCTCACTAAGCTTAATCATATCTAGCTTTTGATTTAAAGTAAGAGACATGTGACCTTTCCTTTTACTTGAACACTTAGAGGTCATTGTAGGGATATTAACTGGCCTAATTTTTTTTTTTTTTACTGACCGGTAACGGGATCGCAACCCTCGGTGTTGCGCCCACACAGCGCTCAGCCAGTGAGCGCTCAGCCAGTTCCCAAGTGGTAACTGGCCTAATTTCAATATTGTGGCTCAGAAAATAGGGAGGCTGAAAGTGGAGGAAGAGAGAGATAGGGGAACAAATGGTTCGAGCGGTCAGAACACACAGCATTTATTGATTAAGTTCACTGTCTTATATGTGCACCCCAAGTTCATGGCACCCAAAACAATTACAATAGTAACAGCAAAGGTCAATGATTGTAGAGCACCATAATAGGTTTAACAATAATAAAAATTTTGAAATATTGTGAGGATTTCCAAGATGTGACACAGAGACACAACGTGAGCACATGTTGGAAAAATGGCAGTGATAGACTTGCTCAATACAGGTTGTCACAAACCTTCAATTTCTAAAAAACACAGTATCTGCAAAGTGCAGTAAAGTGCAGTGCAATAAAATGAGGTACCCCTGTAATAGGAATTAAATTATAAATACACAAATATAAGTATAATCCAGAACAGATGTACAGTGCACATATATATTAAACAAAAGGAAGTGTTCATTCACACACACAGTACCTTGAAATCTGTCGGATCTGGTTGTCTCCAGTGAGAGTCTAAGGATGGCAAAAAACAAACAAAAAAAAACTTTGGTTATTAAGACTGCTATGACCATCTTGGATACTGGAATATCAAAGCATTGGCATGTCACTGTATTAGACTTCATGGAATGTTTGTTTTTAAAAAGGTTTCTGTGAATTGAAGAAGTTGTAAAAGATTTACTTTCTAGATCAAGCCCACTTAGGATTAAGACCAGGTTCTAACTAAACTAAACTGATACAGAAAGTGTTTTAAATGTGGCTACTTTGATGCATAAAGTTAATAACAAAAGAGTATTTACAGAAAGAATATAAAAGTGTTTGTGTATAGGCAAATTTAGTGCAGTTGAGCTTCTAGTCTTTGCTTCCCAAACATCTAATTTAAATGATTTAAATGCTTATCTTTTAATTTCAAAGGTTTGTCAAATATGCTTTCAAAACAAATATGTTTAAGTTGTAAAATTTACTAAACATATGCAGGAAAAAAAGTATTTTATGTTTAAAAAAAGAAAGAATGGATTCTTCCTACAAGGATTAATGCTGCATACTCTGTGATGAGTTGACATTGACTTTGACTGAAGAAAGATTTATTTTTGGAAATAGGATTCTTAAATTAATGTAAGTTCCAAAGAATAAGCAAGTGCCTAGCCTCCCAGACTTTACTAAGTGAAGGGAGTGTGGGGATGGGTGAGTCAGGGAATGGGAGACTAGCCATTGTGGAGGGCCTTCTGGGGGCCGCTAAGGGAGCATTGGATGGAGCCTCCCACCATGAGGTGGGTAGTGTTTCCTTCCTTTTCACAAGAAGATGCTGAGGCTCAAAGAGCACGTGTGACTAGCTCAAAGTCATTTTGCAAACAGGTGTGGAAATGAAATTGGCATCCATGTCTGTGACCTCAAAGCCCATGCTGTCTCTTCAAAGGGGCTGAATAGCGAAGGCAGAAGTAAATAGTAATAGTAAGCACTCAGATGAGCTTTGTTTCTCCAGCGTCTCATTTCTGAGGCTGTTATTTCCATCAGTTCTGTTTGGACCTTAATAGTCTTGCGCAAAGTGGAACACTGAGGTCTTTTTTGTGTCACTTTATAGCTTTATTCCTGTACATTTTGTGTGGATTTCTAAATGTAGTGACTATTAACTATTAATGAAGCTCCTAAATTACAGTAAGATTACATTCATTTTATGTCCATTTTAATAAGGTGGACTTTTTGTTTTAATATATCACACTTTGAAATATTTTCCAACATAAAGACTTCTTCCTGAAATTATGAAGCATCAGGTTGCAATTAACATCAAAACATCACAAAGCCAGTGGTATTTAAAGAGAATATAACATTATGATATGAATCATGTTTTATTATTTGTACCTAAGGGTCTAAAAAGTAGTTTTTGTTATTGATTAAGGAACATTCAGCCAGCTCTGTGACGACACTGAAATTTTTATTGCAGAGCTATTATGTTGAGTTTGTATTATCTCTTAGATGGTCTCATCATTGCTTAAAATTGTCCTTGTCTAAATTTCATATCAAATTGGGAGGGAAAATAGTTGGAAAGTATAATGTTATCAAATGCTTTAATTCTAACTGCCATGTACCTGTATTAATTTTCCCTCTCTCTCCCCATTTTTTTTTTCCCTAGATGAAAAATTCAAAGTGGAGACAAGGATCATTGCTGTTGACTTTGCATCAGAAGATATTTATGATAAAATTAAAACACGCTTAGCAGGTCTAGAAATTGGCATTTTAGGTTTGTATTTTTAGATTCTTCTTGTATTTATTTGATTTGTACTATGACTTTACTTTTTCCTTTAGATGTTAGGTGGTCAGTGCTAAAATGACTAGTGAGAAGAAAATGATCTTAATACAACTGATGATATTAACCTATATATGTTTGAATCTTTGTGTTTTTAGTTTTATATTAATGACTATTATGCAATTTTTGTTGTTTTCCCTGCCTGCTTTATTTCCAGCCTCATTCTCTCTAGTTGTATAACCATAATCCTTTAAGGTGGGTGATACCAAACCATGTACAGTTGAGGAAAAGAAGGCTAAGAAAGTGTTCTCAGCCTTTTGTTCATTATCGCACCCCTGAGAATCCTTTTTAGATACTTTTTTTCCCAATCTAACCCCCATGAAATTTTAGTACCTCATATATACTGTGTGTGTTTATGTACTGTATGTATATTTTTGCTTTACATACACAAAATAATAAGATCTCTCTCTCCCACTGCTACATTGTGTCACCTTGGAGGAGATATGCCCCAGTTGAAAATGGATAGTTTAGAGAGATTAGTGATTTGTCTATGGTCACATAAAGATTGAGTGGTGCAGCTGGGATTCAGTCTTCTGTTTGTTTTTTCTAACTCTGCTACTTTCTTTTGTTACACCTCAGCTACCAGACTCCCAAAACACATGCTTTAGCTGAGATAATGGGAGTATTGAACTTTGTTATGGAAAAGATTTACCAGGGATTTTAAGGGATAAATGGGATTTGAAAAGGTTCCCACCATTCTTTGAGAGGCATTTCTAAAAAGAAATGGGGTATCATGTTCAGAAAAACTTCACTTCCTCACTAAATCTCTTTACTCCACTGCCTACAATGGTGGGAACCTGGTAATTCTGTTCTTCACTGGGCTATACAAGGAGGATAAATAAAGAGAAAAAAATGTTTTTATGTTTCCTTAAATTTATTTAGCCACAAAGACCCCACCTCCTTTCCTTATACTATAAAAGAATGTTTTTTGGTATAATTTCTAGACAGGGCAATTATTAAAAAATCAATTAAATGGGGCCGGCCCGGTGGCGCACTGCTACAGTGCACCGCTTGGGAGCGTGACGGCGCTCCTGCCGAGGGTTCAGATCCCACGTACAGACCGGCCGCTCACTGGCTGAGCGAGGTGCGGGCGCAGCGCTGAGGGGTGCGATCCCGTTGCCGGTCCCGGTCCGGTACGGACGCGACACTGAGGGTGGCGATCCGTTGCCGGTCACGAAAAAAGACAAAAAGGAAAAAAAAATCAATTAAACAAGTACATTCCTATAGAGTACCCTTGTTGCCAAGGGTTAGTCCTGGCTTTGACATGTTATCTTTTCTCAGTTCCTGCGTGGTCTGTACCACACCCTCCTCCACCCCCTGTCCTCCCCACATCACTATGCCTCATCTACGCACACCACTACTACCTCACTTATAGGAGAACTAATAGGGAAAAGATGAGTGAAAACACAAATCTGTAAAAATCTTGACTTTTTTGAAACCTCTAAATTAGCAGCCATAACTTAGTAGATAGTGTAGACACTGCCATGGTTCATCCTATCCCCATGTCAAACTAGTTCAAGAGTAGGGAGTGGCTCTGCTCTCTCTGTTCCACCATTTTCTGCCATGTGAGATCCCTGGATTGCTGTAAAGCCACTACCAAAGAAAATGCTCACCAGATGTGCTCCCTGGACTTTGGACTTCTCAGCCTCTGAAACTCGCTGGAGGTGGAAGCTCAGCAGAGACCACAAACCCTGCGGTACTGCCCCGTGACACAGCAGCCTGGCCGAGTCCAAGCTTACGAGAGAGGTGGCTCCCTGGAGAGGCCCAAGGCCCAAGGCAACCACACACACAAGGAACTAGTGGCCAACTAAGCAGTCACTGAACTAGACATACCAAATTGGCAACCCCAGCAACATCTTAGTCAGACAATAGTGTCAAACCTGTGGACTGTAAAACCCCGTGCCACAATGAATAAACATCAAAGAAAAGATACCAGAAATACAAAAAATCAAGAAAGTACACCACCAAAGGGTAATAACTCTCAAGCTCTACATCCTATAGAACAAGAAGCCCTTGAAATGACTGACAAGGAATTACGAAAAATCAAGAAAGTACACCACCCAAAGATAATAAATCTCAAGCTCTAGATCCTATAGAACAAGAAGCCCTTGAAATGACTGACAAGGAATTTCAAGTGATAATTCTAAGGAAACTGAATGAGATACAAGAAAACTCAGCTAGACATCATGATGAAATGAGGAAAAGTATACAGGACCTGAAAGAGGAAATGTACAAGGAAATCAATGCCCTGAAAAAAAAATGTAGCAGAACTTGCCGAACTGAAGATTATTCAGCGAACTACAAAACACAACGGAGAGTTTAACCAGCAGGCTTGTGGAAGTTGAAGAGAGAACCTCTGTACTTGAAGATGGGCTGTTTGAAATAACACAGGCAGAGAAGAAAAAAGGATAAAAATATAAAAGGCATTGAAGAAAATCTGAGACAGATATCAGACAACCTTAAGCTCTCAAATATCCAAGTCATGGGTATTCCAGAAGGGGAGGAAAAAGGAGATTGCATTGAAAACATATTCAACAAAATAGTGGCAGAAAACTTCCCAGGTATAGGAAAAATCACAGATCTTCAGA